GGCGATTCGCGTCCAACCTCCTACGGCGTACGACCTCGGTTTTGGACCAGTGCTGTTATGGTCAGTTCACTTCGTCCTCTGACACACTTCAAAAACAATGGTACTTCGGTCGTACTCCCGACGTCTTCTTCGTTCACTACTTCATCTCCAGATGGCATGTTAAATTAAACTACAACCTCTTAATCACTTGTTATTTCCTTTACGCCAATTTGCGTTGCCCTTCGCGTTTTCAGCCGTTCGTAGAAGTGTACCGGTTATGATTAAATCAATAGCTGCTCCGGCAGATTCGTCAACTTTTTAAACTAACGAGATCCGAATTTTGAACAAATTATGCGACGGGATTGTTGCAACTTTCAAAGAGCCAGATCGGTTGGTCTATGGGTACTTGAAAACCATCAACTATGAGTTATTAACGGAAAACCCTACAGATGTTCATTTACAAGTACTGCATCGGCTTCGATCTCCAACCGTAATGCGGAAGACATGAAGCTGTTTTTCAGGCTAATTAAACAAAAGCTGCTCTTGAAAGACTTCGACTTATTGATCGCTAAGAACTTTCTTTCTAACGTCCATAAACGTGGATCAGGATTTCAGGGTTTCAGCTATGTCCCGGTAAAGCCAGTTTCCGTAGCAGTCATGCGCCTAGCTTACAGCCATATTTTAAGAATGCTTCAGGTTAAAACGGACGACTCTTTACACACTGTTTCACGAACAACTTTATGATTTCTACGCAAAGAGTTTCCGCTGAAGGATTATGAAATTTTTAATGGCAAAAGTTCAGAAGTACAAACGAAAGCTTTCGACACATCGTACAGGACAAGGTACTCGTTAGCCATGTTCACGCGAACTTTGTTTGACTGATGTCTGTCAACAAAGTGGCTTGTGTTTTGTCCGTCGCCTAATTCTCAGCGAGTTACGGACACCGGCGACGATCAGCTCCGACTAACACCGCCGAGCGCAAGGCCAAAGGTCGAATCTGAAGACATAAGCTGGCGGAGAATGGAAGCAACCCGAGCGTACCAACGTTTCGATCATCATCAGCAGACACAAGCAAGCCAAAGAATCAATCAACTGCAGCAGAACGCAGCACCACCACAAGAGAGGACGAATTTCGCGTGCGACGGACACCGACACTTTATTTACAAATTTAACTAAAGTCTAAACTTTCGGTTTTGAAGGCCCGTGTTCCTGCCGGCTTCCGGTGGGGCACAACTTTCGTCAGCTTTTTCCATGCATTGTTCATCAGCTGGTTGTGCTACTGGAGAATGTACCCTGTTTCTGCGCTAGCAACTGCATCTTGAGGATCAATGAATTTTTTCGTACAGCTCTCAGCGGTCAGTAACTCAGAACGCGGAAAGAACATGTGCATAATTGAAGCCGATTTCTAACGTTAAAGCGTAGCCAATGTCTGTCGGTACCTCGGAAAGCAGTGAGCAAAGACCGGGAATTCTACTGAATGGTGGTGGGCTAGCTTTCGGCCGTAGACCGACAAAGTTGACTGTCCAGACTT